TTTCAGAATTTCAAACTATATTTTTTCTCAAAGGAAGGTCGTACTCTCACTGGGTTATTTGAGAACCTTTTTGCCAATTTTTATATACAAAATTAGATAACTGTTTCTGTGCAATTACTTGAGACTGTCTTCAGATCCTTTCAGGTTCAAAACGTTAACTATAACCCTAAATCTAATGAACTTGACAAATTGGCAGCAATAAAGTCAGACCGAGATTATCTACCCGTAAGATGCACCCGTGTTGAAAATTTAAAGCCGAAAGAAGCATTTTCAAGTAATTATACACAAACAAATCACAACTTGTTCAATGAAACTAGCAAATTTGAAAGAATGCAGGCCCACAAAAAATACAGAACCCAGATAATATAGTGAACATGCAAATAACAAGATTCTTACGTTAGATATGGTATATCAGAGTTGAAAATTTGTAGCCGATTAGATGCAACGTTGTAAAGTTATTACACGGGAACTCTGGAGGAAGAAAAGTTTAAGGAAATTCAGGCAACCACTGTCGGCATTCATTTTCGGGGAATATCTAGTTATTAGTTTCTTGAGTTGCAGGATCTGAGAAGTGTATGACATGTCTCACACACCTCCAGCCTCCTGGACATCAGTACACATAAGAATCTTAGAAGCTGTACCTCAAAACCCTTGAGATGCAAAGCAAACAACAACTCAGTTTCTTCAAGAAACCTAAGAGTTATATAAATTAACCACTCCAAGAAGTCCAAGAGCTGAACCAACACCCTGAAGAGGATCAAGAGCTCCAGCTCAGGACACCTAAAATCCGTAGCTTTAAAGATCCGGAGGCTGTAGACCAACACCCTGAAGAGAGGGAGTAGCTGTTTACCAACATCTTCAAGAGGCCATGATGCAGAAACTCATCTCAGGCACTAAAACTGGATGAAGAAATACACGTTCATAAAACCATTGGTAGGCGAAACGTCTACAAAGAAAGACGTTATTACCTAGTGGGAAGGGTTCTGGAGAATGATTTCCTTCAGGAGTCTCCCTAGTACGTCAGTGAAACCCTATATAAACTGATATCCGTTAGTCTGCTCTGACAGCAAATAGAATAAAGCATAGCACTGTAAATATTTATAGCTATACAATCACAAACTTATCTGAGTTTGAAACCAGTAAGAAGAGTCCATATCACAGAAAAGTAATACAATTTTTTAAATGAAGTTGGCCATTTGGCCCCGTACACACTCCGGTATCAGTTACGAAAAACAAGATATTTAATGAACGCAAAACAGTTTTTTGTCTTGTCTTTATAATGGCGTACCCGATGGTCAAGTGCCACTGGATGGTTTTTAAAATATGTCATAAAAGTATTGTAAAGCTTAATTTTAGAAATGCTTTTCATAGTACTGACAAATTTAGATTTACACAGCCTAATAAGTGAGCGAAATACAATGTTTCTGAAAGTCTGAAGATGAATTATGCAATTATCACAGAAACTAATAATTCCCCGTTTTTATTATAAAATTGACAAACTTCCACTAACATTAGCTGAAATTATAAAGAATTTTCCTCTCGGATAAATGCTCTATCGAGGTATTCATGTTATTTTACGATAAAACACCATGCAGATATTTAAAACAAAATTGTGAAATTCGCAGCTATTCATTCCTTCAGAATCTGATTCTTCTAAAGGGAGGAAAAGTTTAAGCGTATCACCTTCCTCTTAAATAAGACAGATCAAATTGATTGTTTGAATCCGATCAAGAGAGTTCAAGTTATCAGAGAGGCTTAAAGAAATACAAAAACATTACTGGGAGATACCTAAATAGACGAATTTTGGTCACAACACTCGTGTCTCACAGCCTGAGCCCCTGTACCTAAACGCAAGCATGAAGCATAGCATTTGTATCTCAAAATTCTTGAAAAAATATGGCACGAGCTTAATTAAGATCGGCTTCCTTGAGAGAGCCAGGAGCTATAACTAAACTCTCGAGGGGTTCAGGAGCCTTAAGTAAATAACTTCGAAAGGCAGAGAAGTTAGATTATAATCATGGGGGAGCGCTAAACCCGTAGGATTATACAGTACCTGTGTGTGGGGGGGGGGGACGGAAGGCATTCAGGCTCAACTCAGGGAACTGGAGCCCCTCACCAGCGTCAAGGAACTTCCCTTGAAGGGATCATACACTAGAGACATATATACTGAAGACCCTGAGACCCAACCCAGACAAAAACGTAACACTTGAGAACGGACGAAAATTAACTTTAGCGCAGTTTACTACTAAGAATTGTCACTACTACATTTGGGTAAGACATATAGGCAGTATTACAATCACATAATTTCTTATATGCAACTAAAATTCTCACAAGTTAGCAAGTAAACAAAAAAAGATAGTGTTTGGTGAGCATTAATTATATTTTAGTTGATACCACTATACTGAACCATGTAGCAAAGGTGTAACTGTTAGAAATGTCCGTTTCTAATTTTACCCCAATAATGAATTTGAAGAATAACTTCCACTGACAGAAGATTGTGTTTGTGTTTCTTTGCATCGTAGTCATCAACAATAGATCTTACATGATCCTGCATCGTAGTGCTACATTTTTTAAATTCGTTATGATAGTGTCCATCAGTACGTTTTTTTTTTTTCATTCGCCGGTATTCTCCCGGCCCGGGTCTTTTCCAAGTAGTGGTGACCCGGCCTTGGCTCCCTATCTGGGGAGTGTCTCGAGACTTAAGTCTCCCATGGGAGGAGGGACAAGTACCTCCTCATCTTTGGGACCAAGTGTCTCCAGGCCTAGCCACATTCCCCGCCCTCACGGGGCTCGTAGGGAGAAGCTAGGCCTCTGGTCTGCCATCTACCCCGCCTCGAAGGGGCTCGTGGGGATGGCAGTCTTATGAGCTGCAGATGGTAGCAAGCTCAGGCTAATATCAGTACGTTATTATTGTTATAATCGAGGGGAAAAGCTAAACACGTAGGATTATACAGCGCCCGTAGGGGAGGGGTGGATGTGGAAGGTATTCAGGCTTAATTCAGGGAAATGGAGCACAGATCCAGTTCTTTAGATCAAGAGCCTCTCACTAGCATCAAGGAACCTTCCTTGAGGGGATTCATCAGTACAAACTGTACTCATCATATGAAAGATATAAAGGTAAGACTTACGATGCAGTCCAACTTCAAGTATCAGGGTTCTAGTTCCGCAAACTTCCCGTTTTCATTTAGAGTATATTTTACCACTAAATTTTCTGATTATTACCACGTTCGTTATGCCAGTAATTAAGCACAAGAGTGTTGTATGATAGAACTACTGTATATTTTTATACAACCAAAATAGCTGAAAACACACAAATCTGTACTTATTCGGATGTACTGCAACAATCTTAATTCTTCTCTGCGTTCACCGTGAAAATATTGCCAGTAATTGAATCTAAATTACGATAAACGAGAGTTTTTCATATTTTGCAAAACAAGAATCTTTTAGTTATTCAGCGATTTAAACACACTTTCTTTCAATTAAATCTACACTGTTAGTACTGGCTTCTGCCTACCATTTCACACACTCGTTACATAAAATTTAATCACAAAGCAATTACGACTGCTTAGTCTGTTTCATTTTCTGTAAATCACATCCATTTTATTCGTTCAGTGTTATTCGGCTGTAAGAGTTTACAAATTTAATGATAAGGGTAAATATTCCCACTGTTTACACCAGAGATGGATTGTTAGGCAAGCATCCCACACAGAGATCCTCCTACCTCGAGGTACAAACCGCTCATACGTTAATTAAGGTGATTCACCGTCAGGAGAATTATGAACGAGAATGACACAGATCGTGTACTGGATAAGAGAAGTGAGTCAACCGTTGAACTACCTGCTCTTATAGGCTTTAAATGACCATCAGTTCAATGTTCCGTGTAGCTAATGTTTTTTTATTTATATTTTACATTATTATTATTATTATTATAATCAAGGGGGAAGCGCTAAACCCGGAGGATTATACAGCGCCTGGGGGGGGGATGTGAAAGGCATTCAGGCTTAATTCGGGGAACTGGAGCACAGATCCAATTCCCTAAATCAAGAGCCCCTCACCAACATTTTTATATTTTACATTAAAAAAAAAAAATCATCAAATTGTAATCCAACGACACCATCCATGATGATTTTTAATTTTACACTCTTTTCCACGAATATGCAACTTTGAAGGTAATCCCGAAAACCCTTCCACTTAGCTCTAGTTAAAAAAAAAAAAAAAAAAAAAAAAAAAAAAAAAAAAAAAAAAAAATGAAGTGGCAACACTGGTAGACAAAAATGGTTTACAGGAAAGTTAATGTTTGTCTTATTACCTTTCCTAATAATTTTCACATTTTTTAATTATTATTATATACCTGAAAACTAAATTTTCCGTCACTCTTATATGAATATTTATTATAATCGTGGGGAGCGCTAAACCCGTAGGATTATACAGCGCACGTGGGAGGGGGCGGGGGTGGAAGGTATTCAGGCTCAATTCAGGGAACTGGAGCAGAGATCAAATTCCCTAGATCAAGAGCCCCTCACCAGCATCAAGGAACCTCCCTTGAGGGTATGTGAATATTTACCATACGTCATGGAAGAAAATATTACCTTTTAAAAAATATTACCGTTTAAATATTACCTTTTAAAATACTCTAGCACATGCAGCATAAAACTGCCGTGAGATTACGTTAGGTAAGATTTGTCAGGAAACAGGACTGGTGTTTCCTGACGCAGATGTTAGTTATATATTGACCTGCCGTTGAATTTTTTGCTCATCTGACCGAGGCCTTCCACTGGATTACCACTCCACCTCTTTAAAAATTAAGAATACTGTTAATTTACTGTCGTGAGCGTCATAAAGATCAGCCTATTGATTTCTGTTATGTGGTAGCGAGACTAAACTCTCCTGAAAACCATTATTGTCTCCCTGTCTCCATCTTTCAGTTTACCAGTAAAATATCAGGAGCTTTCCATAAGGATAAACTGTAATGCACCAAAGGGCTTATTGCTTTCACATACCTTTCATTCTATTTCAACTCCATTGGTGTGCATCTTGCGTGTGATGTGTCCCGCGAAGAACTTCAGTGTTACACTTACCTGTAACAGTAAAGTGTATTGCTAGTACAGTGTTTCCTGCTACAATGAACCAAAGAACCAGTTTTATTGCTACATGCTTCGATGTTTATTTGAAAAATAGTAAAGCATATTTACACACTGAGTATATTGCTGGAACTCCGACAAGTACACAGACACTATGCAGGGAAGTTTTGAATAGTACAATGTTTCATCCACTAACGGGCTTTATCAGGAACACAAGTGTACGTGATAAAGCCAACATTTTTAGAAACGTTTCGGTCGTGGGACCGTGTTCCCTCTATACCTAGAGCTAGAGAAAACATGTTTGTAGAAGTAATGTTATACGTGAGATAGACTGGTTTTCACCGTCAGACTCTACCTAAAGTGTATTTACATATATTGAATGAAGAGATACTCCCAGAGTTACCTTGTCACGAAGGAAGATTTTATCACCGTAACTGATGGTAGAGATCACCGGCGGAACTATCGGTGTTCCCGACCAACCTCCACATTACCTGTAATAGTAATTTGACCAATTATTGCCTTGGTATTGAAGCGCTAAAACACGTCATAGAGTTTCCTTCTCCTGTGTGCGGGTTATTTATGTATCAAGACATTTGAGTATTTGTGATACATTTGTCATATGTTTACATTAAAAATAAATTTTAGCATATTATGAATTTAATTTTGACTAAAAAATTCTCTACACAAGTACATTTAAGCAATAATTTCAACCGTGTTACTGGTAATCAATTGCTATACTCGTTTAGCCCGGTGACCCGAAACAAATGAAAACAATTTAAATTAGTTAATTATCTTTTGAGCGCACTTACAGCGCTTCTCTCTCACAATGTTGTCTAACAAAAATGTGTTAAAACTGCATTTCCATCAAAAAAAAAAAAATGTATTCATAATTATAATGAGCCTAGCATTTACACTACATATTACACAATTTTAGTTTCTTTAAAACTATCTGTGGCAAAGCTGCTGGACGTAAACTAGGAACATTTTTCATTGTCAGATCTGTCAGATATATGAAAGGGTTAGTGAGGCATATTTTAACTAGTCCTGAATGTCAACTCGTAATACCTTGAAACTGATATATTTACCCTCACTCTTCTTTTTCCATCTGAAGAATTTTGTCGATCAAAACACATCACTTCACACAGTGATAAAGTCACACGAATACAAAATATTGTAAGGATAAATTTCACATCACACGAATGTAATCACTCCACTAAAGACCTGACCATAACTTGCACCTTCGGGCAACTGAGCACTCGATCGTCAAAGCTTAAAGCGGTGATGTGAACGAAGCAGCTCATCAAGACTCGAGGTTTTAAATTTATTATTCGGTTTAGGTAGCACTCGTTGCTTCGACTAGACTACTGTTGCGTTCGGAATTCTCTGAATTCTTTGCAGTCACTGAATAATATACAATGAGAAAAATATTTTTAAATATAGTGTATTATAAATTACATAATATATAATATAAAATATTATACAGCTGTCTTCTGCAGTAATAACAATAATAAACGAATCTCTCTCTCTCTCTCTCTCTCTCTCTCTCTCTCTCTCTCTCTCTCTCTCTCTCTCATCTTCTCTCTCTCTTCTCTCTCTCTCTCTTCTCTTCTTTTTTTTTTTTTTTTTTTTTTTTTTTTTTTTTTTTTTTTTTTTTTTTTTTTTTTTTTTTTTTTTTTTTTTACACAGGGTTTGACAAGGTTAAGGATCCCTAGCTTTATTGACAGCTATATTACAGGTTAAGGATTCCTAACTTTATTGGCAAGCTAAGAGCTGTTACCTACATCAGCTCATTTGAAAGCATTTTTATTGTTATGAGACATACAAGTAGGGAACAGGATGAAGTTGGAGCCATCTGTGGGCCAGCATTTTCATTTGATCAACTGACTTTATCTCGTTGACATCATTATGCTGTACGAATGTGTTCCATACTCGAGTCATCCTGGGTATGTATGATCTCAGATGGAGTGATGTTCTGGAGAAGGGTACAGCCAGAGTAAAGTTGCTGCTTTCTGCCCGTCTTGTGGCATAAAAGCTTGTTTCACGCTGTCCTCGAAGTGGATCCAAGTGTGGTATTTTGACAATATTGGCCTTGTACATAACAGTAAGGCCACCCACATCCCTCCTATGTTGAAGGTTCTGCTGAAATGACAGATCTATCCAGGATGGGTCCAGCCGAGAGATGAGACGTCTTGCTCTGTTCTCTACTCTGTCAAGCAGTCGCAGATGAGAGGGGGGGCAGGCAAACCAAGAAAGTGGAGCATACTCAAGGTGTGAGCGTACTTGTGCCTCGTACAGGATCTTGCAACCCCTACTGTCAAGCAGATGCGAGATACGGCGAAGTGCTGTAAGCTTCCTGGCTGCCTTGTTTGCAAGATTTACAACATGGTTCTTCATGGTTAGTTTGGAGTCAAATTTCACCCCAAGGATATCAACTTCTCCAGGTGCCAACATCCTCCCATTCATCCTTACTACTGCACCAGCATTACCATCATGGTGCCTAGAGACGATCATCATTTGCGTTTTCTCAGGTGCAAATGTTACTTGCCATCTATTTCCCCAAGCTGATATAGCTCTCAGCTGGTGATTGATGTAGCTTAGAGCAGCTGGCATTTCTTCTCTTGGATAAGTGAATGTCAGTGTACAGTCGTCTGCATATGCATGTGATTCTGGGATGAGATGAAGAAGGTCGTTGAAGTAGACATTCCATAACAATGGACCCAGCACGCTTGTGGAACGCTTGCCCCAATAGGATGCCTTGCTGATTCCGTTCCATTGAGGACTACACTTAGAGATCTACCATGAAGGTAATCACTGAGGAGACATAGCGTAGAGCCTGCAATTCCCAGTGCTTGAAGTTTTGCTAAGAGGCCCTGGTGCCACACTCGGTCGAAAGCGCCAGCAATGTCCAGTGCTACCCCACAGCTGACTTTGGATTCATCCAGTGACTGGTGCCACTTAGTGGAGAGGGTTAACAACAGATCAGCAGCAGAGTAACCTTTCCTGAAGCCATATTGACGATCACAAAGTAGTGAGTGGTAGTCAAAAAAAATCTGTCATTTGTCTTGAGATTATTGTCTCAAGGATCTTACCAGTGATTGACAGGAGTGACACTGGTCTGTAGTTGCTGATTTCTGCTCTGCTCTTCTTTTTCTAACCAGGGACTACATTTGCCTCTTTCCATGGAGAGGGCCATTTACACTGTACTAGACAGTGCTGAAAGATGCGAGTTAGAGGTGCTGCTAGCTGGTCTGCACATCTTCTCAACAATCTTGGGCTCAACTTGTCTGGGCCCACAGCCTTTTCTTGGTCAAGTGATTTAAGAAGGAAATGCACCTCCTCCTGCCTTATTGTCACCAGTGACAGTTTTGACACAGTTCTTGCAGCTAGCCAAGGAGGGTCCCTTGCTGGATCAGGAACTTGCATTTTGGTAGCAAAGTGTTCAGCAAAGAGGTCCGCCTTCTCTTGACTACTAGTAGAGGTGGTCCCATCCTGTCGATTTAGAGGTGGAATAAGTTCATCAGGCAGATAACCTTGTCTGTCCTTGACCAGGGACTACCAGGTTTTGGAGCCTGCCCTACCTGATGCTAACTTTCTTTTAGTGTCCACCTCCCATTTAGCAATGGCCCACTTTTGAACATCACCCATATGCCTACAAGCTTGCATGTGCAAGTTCCTGTTATAGGTGGTAGGATTGTCTCTCTCTCTCTCCTTCTCTCTCTCTCTCTCTCTCTCTCTCTCTCTCTCTCACCGCCAGAACTATCGCCACCACCACCATCACCAGCACTATTACCACCATCACAGCACTATTACCACCATCACAACACTATCACCACCACCATCACCAGCACTATCACCACCACCATCACCAGCACTATCACCACCACCATTACCAGAACTATCACCACCACTATTACCCGCACTATCACCACCACCATCACCAGCACTATCACCACCACCATTACCAGAACTATCACCACCACCATCGCCAGCACTATCACCACCACCATCACCAGCACTATCACCACATCCCCACGTCACCACCACCACATTACTTTGTCCACCTAAAGTTCCTGGAATTAATCTTAGTGAAATGACATAAGCCTCTTAGCGCCGCCACCAGCCGACGGCTGTCAGATGTATTGACAAGTTAATAATTTATAGGCATGGAAATAAATTTTTGATACGATAATAATGCCCTGACAGCGTAATAACATAACTATCCTCTCCTATACTCAAATAAAAAATATAAATGTCGTCAATTCTCTTGTCAATATTTTTCAAAAATGATTTAATCAATTGTTTTCTGTTAGTAATATTATTTATTAACTTTTTACCTACATGATCCTTTTCAAAATAGCACAAAATATTGCATAAATAGAATTGCAATTATTAAGTCTATAATGTGGTTGGTATTATGAGAGAAATAACAAAACTTTTCGGTCAAATTAGAGATATGATCAAACCACGGAACGGGCGGGGATTAAAACAATGGCAAATGAACCCTGAAACTGGCATTGACCCGGAGTTTTAGGACCCACTTGTCATAATTTCAACCCCCACCCGTTCCGTGGTATAGGTTAGGTTAAGTAAGGTGTTCGTCAGGAAACAGAACAAGTGCTTCCTGACGCGAGTCTAAGTCATATAATGACCCGCCGTTGGGGCTTTTGGTCATCTGACCGAGGTCTTCTGCTGGCTTACCGGTCCACCCCTCTAAAAATTATTCCGTGATTTAGTTACAATTGTGTTATTACGATTTCGTTAACCATGATCAAGTCCTTTTGCTGTTCTCTTACATATCAAAGACGAAACTTTAATTTTAATGATAGTTTAGCATTGTGGCCAGAAATAATGTGGATATTATTATGCTGAGTTTTAAAGCCAAAATAAGGAATATCTACGTGATGAGCAATCCTATATAAAGCTTCGTTTAGACCTTTAAGTAGGTTGAATACGAAGTAATTACAACAGTGAAGTTTAAACTTTGTTAAGCGATTTTTCTGAATTATGAAGCAAATTTACTGGCAATCTTCTGAAGCTTCTATTTATTAATGGGCTTCCAAAATTCATAAGCTCATAAATTTAAAGTTTAAGACTTACTATTTCTAATAGAGACAGTGTCCGGGGCCCAAAACTGTTCAACAGCATCCCACCAGACATAAGGGGAATTACCAATAGACCCCTGGCTGCCTTCCAGAGGGAGCTGGAGAGATACTTAAGTCGGTGCCGGGATAGCCAAGCTGTGGTTCGTGTTTTGCACTACATGTGGCCAGCATTAACAGCCTGGTTGATCAAGCCCTGATTCACCAGGAGGCCTGGTAGTGAACCAGACCGCAGGGGCATTGACCCCCGGAATACCATCCAGGTAGACTCCCTAACCTGGATCACAGGTGGTGGTCATTAAGTTATTTAGTTTTTAGAGTGTGATGGCCTGGGCACCAGCGAGTTGGGCAGCCACCTGACGGACCAGTGATCAAGTCCAGGAAAAACACTTTGAATTACTATAAGTATTCACTAAGAAAAAATGTCTTCAAGAAAAAATCTAGAGACTTTTTCTACAATCAGGCTGAATAAATGTAAATAAATGAAAGTTGTTTCTGAGTGGATTTTGAGGATAAAATATAGTTTATTAGGTACAATATTGAGTGAGTTTTGAACACTGAAGAATCTGTTAAGTTATGCAGATTATTAAAAGGTATTTTTTAATAGGGAACACTTTTTTTTTTTACAATTGAGGAAAAGATCCTGTGGAAGCTTTACCTAACCGAATGTAACTCAACCGAACGCATCTAAGCCAAACCTAACGCAACCTAATCTAACGTAACCTAACTTAACCTACCCGAGAGCGTGTGTGTGTGTGTGTATATATATACTTATATATACATATATATATATATATAATATAATATATATATATATATATATATATATATATATATATATATATATATATATATATATATATATATATATACATTATATATATATATATATATATATATATATATAATAACATTATATATATATATATATATATATATATATATATATATATATATATATATATATATATATATATATATATATATATATATATATATATATATATATATATATATATATATATATATATATAATTAGAGTCAGATTATTGCAGAACATAATTCTCTTTTCATTAACGACAAAAGATATTTAGGTTAGCAAAATCAACAATATGTGTTGCACCTGGGAACCTGATACGACCCACATTCCAAGGTTACTGCAGA